CACACACACACACACACACACACACACACACACACACACACACACACACACACACACACAAGCAGACAATGTCCTTGCAGATAAACACAACTCTATGGCAGACAGTCTGACTCCAACAAAGTGAATTTGCATCAGAATGCTGTGACATTGAATGAAAAAATATACATGTAACGAAACATGACACAAATTAATATTTAAACAGAAATTTCATTGCTTCTTGTTATTACACAGACCCTTACACATTTAACACAATTATGTCCATGCAATGATCTGCTGCAGGTAAGATATTGATCTTTCATTATCTTTTCCACAGAYCCCACTTCAAAACTGATCTGTCCCTTTATATCACCTTTATCTCATAAAGGAAATCATGGGGTTTTAGTTCGAGTTTTAACTCAACAAGTAATAATTAACACCAATGAATCATAAAAAGTTTTTTCCAGCCACTTACAAAAACAATAATAAAAGCTCAATATTTTCACTCCTTTATGTTTGTAAATTGTATATTATTAAGCTGTGTCATTACTTCAAGCATGATTTCAGAGGAATTTCTCAGCAGAGTAACTTAACCCTGAAACTAAATGTTTACTCAGCAGTATGAGAAACAAACAAAAGGCCATGAATCTTTGTAAACCCGACCTTATCAGTGTTACATTAGAGAACACACAGTTTGTATTTCAACTTTGTGCTCAGATTAAAAAGCAACCGCAGTATTTTTTCCCCTCTCATTTGTGGAGGGTATAAAAGACCAGAGACYCTGAGGCGTAGAAGAACTAGCCTGAGCGAGAATGGCACATTGATAACCTTGATACTTTCTGTCTACTCATCGAAACGAACCAAAACTGAGGGAACCAAAACCATAGAAAAGGAAACAGCTCCTTGCTGCATTCCTCTTCTGCAAACAAAAGTTGTTGGTGTGAGCATATCAAGGGCAGCGTCATGTGATTGGTGAAGATTTCAGAGTTGACACCACTTTGTGGTCAGCTCAGAGCTGATGAGCGGATGATCTAATCACAGCTGGAAGATGGTTACTTCAAGGTGTGGACTTGTTGCTCTGAGCTGCAGTCTTCTCGTCTGTCTACTCACAGGTAAGACACCTACAAATGATTTTTATTGAATGAAAACTGATGAACAGATTTTTCTTTCACTGCCTTTGTTTAGTTTGTGTGTCTGGAAGCGCCATAATAACCAACGTGGGCACAGACGTAACTCTAAGGTGCAACTATGATGCCAAACACTACGGCCGGCTGTCTGTGTGCTGGGGCAGAGGGCCCATACCGAACAGCGGCTGCGCCAACGAGGTGATCAAAACAGATGGGACATCAGTGACCAGCAGGTTGTCTGAGCGCTACCTGCTTGAGGGCAATCTTGGCGAGGGGGATGTGTCGCTCACCATCAGGCAGGTCCAGGAGAGTGACTCGYGTATTTACGGCTGTCGGGTAGATATACCGGGCTGGTTCAATGACCACAAACATCAGCTGACTCTCTCAGTGATTGCAGGTATTCATGCTAACAAAAAGAAGATATCACTTTTACTTTTTTTGTTTTTTGTCCTCTGAACAAGCAGTTAATCATTTTTATCGTAATACCAACATGCTTTCTGACTTTTCAGTGCGCCCTCTTCCCCTGAAAGTGGAGACAAGAGAGGTGAAAGAGAGGACACTCACTGTTCGCTGGACTCCTCCGTTTGATGGCGGCAGACCGATCACATCATACATCATTGAAATAAAAAACAAATATGGTAAGCAGAAGAAAATTAGACGATATTTCTTATCAGGTTTGGCAACATGCAACWCATCCAATATTCTGAATGAATTTTAGACGGTGCTTTTTTTTATCTTGTCTGAGTTCAGAGGAGTCAAAAGTATTCCTTGTGACCCACAGTCCTGCATGTTGTTTCCCTGCTTCAACACACCTGAATGAATGAATGAATGAATGAATGAATGAATGAATGAATGAATGAATGAATGAATGAATGAATGGKGGGAAGAAGGCCTTTAAGGATAAAAGCTCAGGCTGCACCACAGGAGTTAAAATCTCCTCCCCCTCCCCCATTTTTCCCTTAAAGGGACAATATCATGTAAAATCCACTTTTTTTTAGTTTTATATCATGTTATAATGTTATACTCTCATAAAAAACATGCTCAAAGCCTTGCTTTGACTCATTCATACATGTGTGAGAAATCCTGCAGCGTTTTCAGGCAGCCATGCTGAGGAGCAAAATGACAGGTGGGGACCAGAAATGCCTTTTGGGACCAGAAATGCCCCTGGGACGTGTCTTTAAGCCAAACTTCCTCATGGCAGAGCGCACCCCCTCCCCACACACCCCGCCCATGACTCATGAAGGCTCTCGGGTGAAATTGAAAGTGAAACTTAACTGTCTGCTGAGCTCTCAACATTAGTTCTCACTCAGTGAAGCTYTTTTCAGATTAAAAATACCTTTGAGGAAATGTATTTTCAGATGCAAAGTAAACTGTATCATAGCGCACGCGCATCACCCCCTCCCCCTCACACTGAAATGGATGGGACAGAAGCAGAAGGAGGTTCTTAAAGAGACAGAGGCCAATTTCAAGGRGTTTAGAAGAGGAAGTGATGAGGATAAGTTTATTTTCTATTTAAAGATAAAAACAGCATTTTAATAACAGCCAAAGGTGACATAGATACTTTATTATGGTATAGTATTTAAACATATGCCTGAGAAACACATAATATTGGCCCTTTAAAATCAATAATGACTAAAATACAATCAAATATTAATGTTGAAAAAACTGGTATGTACCAGGGCAGGCCACATGAGGGTTATGGTGGTCCTCAAAAGGCCAGATGGGATTAACGTTGATGTTTTGTGTTTAACTTTAACTAAACACAAGATGTCCTGTTATGGCTGAGCACAGAAAGAAATAACTGAGCTCTATGTGGTATTTTGTGCATAGAAACAGCATTTCAACATGTCCTCTTATAAACAKTGAAAAGTACTACATGTACAGCAGACTAAATGCGAAACAAACAATACAGAAATACTATTAAAGTAAAATTAAGCTAGTTTRACTCACTGATGACTCATGGCCAGCTTGAATTCTGAACCCTCCCACATTCTGACAGGGAATTCTCACTGGAGGGGGGTCTCAGTTCAAATTTACCTCTTGTATGGGGAATTCCCACTCATGAACAGATTTGGACCACTATTTAGCACAAAACCGGAAAGTTTTGTCTCTTTGTCATTCTTAATTAATGCATAATAAACACTTATTATTGATTTATAACTTGGATGAATTAATAACTATCTATAAACTATTTCTAAGTCATCTATGAGGGGAGCCTTATTGTAAAGTGGTACTGAAAAAGACAATTACTCCAGTAATGTATAAATAACTYAAGTTTCCATTTAAGTAAAGTAACACATATTTGTACTTCATTACTTGACACCTCTACATGACTTTCTGCTGTGCAGCATCCTGGGACACTGCTGTGAGAACAGAAGTAGCATCTCATTTAAATCAGGTGACTTTGGTTGACCTGCGTCCTGCCAAGACCTACAACGTCCGCATGTTTGCTGTCAACACTTTGGGAATGAGTGAAGTCAGCAATGTTCTCACCATCACAACTAAAGAAGCAGGTATGTTTGGAGATCTAAAGCTAGAAAATAAAAATCTGTTTTGATGAGAACCTTTGTAAAGTTTCATTTCTGTCCAGCACCAGAGGGCCCTCCTCTCGACATGCAGCTTCAAGCCCTCAGTTCTCACAGCATCCAAGTCACATGGAAGGTAAAGATACAGTTTCTAGTTAAATGGACAGTTTTAAAGGACAAGTGGAAAGACTTTGTTAATACATATCTTACCTGCTAAACAGAGCTTTTTGAATTACTTCACTTCYGAGAAGTAGGGTTTAATTCTGACTGATGACAGCTTGTCTAAATGAGGCCAAAACCAAAGTGTATTTCAACTGTCTTAGATCAGCTCTAATGAAAAAGGTTATATATGCTAAAGCTATAGCATAGACTTGTACTGCACTGTCAGTTTTGTACCATAGTGTTTTTTTCTGGTTATTTATGAGCACAAATAACAGCAGTAGCAAGTTGCAGCACTTTTGTAGCAGCTTAGGGCACATTCAGCAGAAATGTCCTAATCTTTAATTATCTGTGGAATGTGAAACTGATGGTAGTGTAAAGATCGTAACAAAACAATTGCATGAACTGCTGTACAGTTTTGAAGTTTGGTCGTAGTAAAGAAGGCAGAAATTTGTTTTAGAAATTGATCTAAAATAAATTTCTTAAAAACAAACTTKATTTTGTTGCCAGAAACCAACTCCAATTTATAGAGGTTGATAAAAACTTTTATCATTTAAACCTTTACACTGCCATCAGTTTTATATTACAACAAAGATATTTAACAGATGGCCTGTGACAAAAGCAGCAACTAGCATAAATACTGTGTGTGCAAATAGATTTTAAATCAATTTATCAAGGAAAATTTAGGATTTAGTGCAGCAAAATCAACACTGATAATAATAAATATTAATATAATATATAATAATATTAAAATAAAAATAATTATTACAATATATAATATTAAAGATTATGCTACTTGCTCATTTACATGATTAAGTTCTTCCCTGATCATTATTGGACTTGCTGGAAGTGCCACTGCCTAACTGCTACTGCTTTTTACTCCTGCAAATACTGCAAGTTTTSTTTTGGATTTCTGTAAATCATAACATAATGTGAAATTAACAGTAAAATTAAAATCTTGAACTTTATATTTTTTGCCAACTGATGTTTAATGCACCATCTTTAACAGGTAAAATACTAAATGTTCATATTCCTGTACAGGACACGGTTTTAAACTGTCCAAACGATCCCTTCATTGCAAGATATAAAGCAGCAAAGCTGTTTTTCGAAGTACTGTGAATAAACAGAGTTTTTTTCTCCTGACCAGCCTCCAAAGGTGGACCTCAGAAACGGCGTTCTGCGAAGTTACAACATTAACTACAGAGAGTACGACCCGGTGGGCAGTCAGTTTAAAAAGTGGCAGCAGCGCAGTGTGGAAGCCACACGCGAAGTGGAAAGTGTCATCCTGACAGACCTGAAGCCCTCTACCAAGTACGGCGTGATTGTGCAGGCCAAGACTAATGCGGGAGTAGGACCGCCCTCCACTGCACCTTTCTGCTCCACGCTGGATGAAGGTCTGTTGATTTGATTTGATTTATTGATTTAACAGGAAAAGATTATTAAAAATCAAGCCTGACTCAGCATAATTGCTGTTTTACAGCAGGTTCCTGTTCTGCAACACATAAAACACTCAGAAATACAGCATCACAATCACATCATTATTATTACACCATAAACACAAAGACAAACAAGCATACCAAATTTCAGGAAGGCAGCATTTGCAAAATAGGACGTCTAAATATGAGCACAACAGAAAGTGTCCAGCAGATGGCAGACAAGATTCTTCTTAAAGGGCTGAAGTTTTGAAATGGACTTTATGTTTTGAGGAATGTCATTCCATGCTTTAGTATAAACATAGAAGAAAGACCTCTGGCCGTAACAGTTTTTAAAAGTTGGTAATGTCAGTTGTCCTTTTGTAACAGATCTAGTTGAATGACCACTTCCAGTATTTGATTTGGGCAACAATGCACAGAGAGTTCTATAATTGGCACCTTGGAAGATCTAAAAATATAAATTAATACCACTATACAAAACATAKTTCTGAAAAGTCAAGGCATCAGACAATGAAAGAACTGTACAGTGATGAGTCCAACCAGGAAGTTTTTATGAATTTTGTAGGCCCTGTTGTAGAGCCTAACTATGGGTTCTAAGATTTTATTTGTTGGAAACTGTATAAAGATTTAAAAACACTCATTTATTATTGTTTTCCTCTACTTATTATGTTTTGTTTTAAGTTCAAAAAATGACAACTSCAACTAGCATGTCTTCTTCTGCTACTAAAATGCCGACACAACCAACAAGTGTCACTCCAGGTACGAATTGTTTGGTTGATGACGATTTATTCAATACGTTTAAAGACTAATATTGATAGTAATGACTTTTCTGTTCTATTCCAAGTTCACACAACAACTTCAACTACTGAGGCAGTTTCAACAGCCACAGTGTGGGAGGGAAGCATTTCAACTCTCAACATGGGTATTTTGTGTGATTTACATGGAGATTTAATTATTTCAAGAAACAATTTCAAAACATGTATCAGAACATTTGACGGCAATAATTCTGACAAAACTAAATGACAAAATAAAATATACTTAAGTTACAGGTTTTATTGTATGAATTAATTAAACCTTTTATCCTGAGCCACAAATCAAACTGTGCTATATGAAAACAACTTTTTAAATAGTTCTCTGTYCCTTTCAGTACCTCCAGATCCACCTGTTATTGAGCTGAATGAGGTGAAAAACRATGCAATATCCCTTTTCTGGACTCCTGGGTTTGAAGGCAGCAGCCCCATCACTGGCTTCTACCTGGAGTATAAAGCATCCAATGGTGAGAGAGAAGTCCAYTGGAAAAACAATACTAATACATTGTTAATGTTTTCAGATAAAATGATCTGTGTTCCTCCTCTGCAGCCTCGTGGGATTACACAGAGAGCGTTGTTGACTTCAGCCCCAATCAGACGGAGGTCACAATAATTGAGATAAACCCTTCCACGTACAACATACGCATGTTTGCTAAAAGCAGCGTGGGCACCAGCAGAGCCAGTAATGTTCTCACTGTAACCATCGCAGAAACTGGTATTTTAGTTTTTTCTTCCTCTTTTTTAGTTGTGTTTTACTCTGATTCAGTCTGGTTCCTCCTGGAAACTTGTTTCCATCTGAGTTTTAGTGACAGCAGATACAAACTTGCTTTAATGACAAAACACAGTCACAGTTACTGGAGCAACTGTATCCCAATCAGGATGCTTTGTTGAATAATTCGACTCAGCTTGTTTTTTTAGTTTCATGAAGCAAAAAAAGTTTTACAACTTCCTTCTGCTTGGTTTGTCACTGGGGTGTMCCTGACAGTTCATCAAAAGGACAATCTTAATACTACTGTACCAACGAGTCCTCAGGATGCTGTAAGTATCTAACATTTCACATGTTGGATAAAATATTMTATTCCATGTTAAAATACGATTTCATCTCTTGATGAGGTAAAGTTTTATGTCCTTTCTGCCAGGTGTCAGCGGAGAAAAGTCGTGGTGTTCCCACTGCTGCCGTCATTGTTCCAGTTGTTCTGCTCGTGCTGATTGTTGCCACATTAATCGGTTGGAAACTTCGGCGTGAGTTTTTCCTGCCATATTTGCTTCTTTTCGAGGCCAAAAAAAGGGCTGCATTGTTTTAACCCCAACCTTTTCTTATTGCAGAAATAAAACAGAGGAAAGGCAGTCTGACCATGTGAGTGTTAGAAAATTAAAAATACTAAAGACACCATGACAGCATTTCATTGAGCATCAGTCTTCTCTTGTCTGCAGGTGGCTGACCAGCGGAGCGATACGTTACAGAGGCTCGGAGTCACTACAAGAGCTGTGACCCTCCGGCTCATCCTGCAATCTGCTCGTCATTTCATTGAAATTAAACACACAAAGTTTTTCTAAACAAAACTAAAACAAATTTATCTGTCACTTGCAGATTTACAGTATTTAATTGAAATTAATCAAAAGCAAAGGTAGTGAATATTAGCTTTAAACCTCTCAGCTTTAACATTTATTTTTTAAAGTTTTAAATCTTTTGCTAAAACAGTTTTAACATGAAAACAGGTGTTGTTCCTTTTCGTAGTTAGCTGCCTGTCATGTATCTTTCTTTCATATTGTCTTTTTTATCAACTTGGAAACCTAGCAGCTTACAATGTAACATCTAATCACACTAGGAAGGTAAACGCATGAGAAGATGCAAAAATATCCTGAAGATGAATTAAGTTGCTTCTAGTGCCTTTATGTTTCCCAAAAATACTGTCAGTCAGTGTCTTTGCTGTTCCTCTGGTGCATATGTGTCAAACTCAAGGCCTGTGTGCCAAATGTGGCAAGCCACAGCATTTTACATGGCCTGCGAGAGCTTCAAAGATAWATTAATGTCTTYAAATGGGTGTATGCTGCTTTAAGGCCAGCGTTGACCATYAACTACACCACCCATAACTCATGTAGATTATTTGACCTGTGAAATGACAGCATCCCACCACTAGGTGGAGGTGCWCAGGGTTCAAAATTAGCTGGCTGCCAGCAAAATTCACWGTGTAAAATTTCTATTTCACTGCAATTTCACAAACTACTTTTGACCAGTTGTACTGGGAAGTGGGAATTTCCCATTTACATGCCATACATTTAAACTGTGATGCCCCTCTAGTGGGGATTCCCTGTTGGAAAGTGAGAGGGTTCAAAATTCAAGATGGAAGCTACTTGCCATAAGTCATCAGTGAATAAAACTTGCTTAATTTTACTTTAATAGTATTTCTGTATTATTTACTTTATGTTTAGTRTGCTGTACATGTAGTACTTGTAAGTGTTTTTAACAGGACATGCTAAAACACAGTTTCTATACAAAATATTATGCAGAGCTCAGTTATTTTTTTCTGTGCTCAGATGTAGCAAAGAGACGAGGAATGTGACATTTTGCGTTTGAGGGCCACGATAACGRTCATGAAGCCCTTAGTGAAAATGAGTTTGACACTCCTGCTCTAGTGTGTTTTCTTGATAATCTWCTTTTGGTTTCTGTCCTCTGGTTTTCTGATATCCGTGGTTCAGTTTCCCTGTTCAGTTCCTCCTGCCTGTCTTTGCTCAGGCCCCGCCCACGCTCACCTGTTCCTCGTGTTTCTCCTCCAGGTATTTCTAGCTCCCTCGTTAGAACTCATTTTGCTCCCACGTCAACAGTTTTGTTCAGTACTTGAAATAATCAGAGTCATTCAGTCTGCTCTTGGCTAACCATGATAATGTGAACTGATATGACTTGTGCAGATATTTTTTCTGGATAATTCTAGCATAACTATAAAAAAAACATGACTCTATTGTGTATTATAACACACCCAAGCTCCCCCATCCAGATTTGATTATATGGAGTGGGCTTGCAGTTTTACCATGTTTCTTATGAACTTTGATAAAAAAAAATATTCTGTCAGCAGCCAAGGTGGTTATATTTTTAATCTTTTTTTCCCTTTTTTTTGTCCAATTTAAGTCTTAGTTTATCTTTTTTGTCTGTAGGACTCACATGCAGTTCCTGTTTTCTCAGATTTTTTTCCACTGGCTTGATTCTGCATGTTGGATCCTGTGTATTTGTCTTTGTGGGATGAGAAGGACTCTGGCCTTTTATTACACAATTTAATAGTTAGTAATAACAATAGTTTGATGAAACTAAATAAAAGTTCCTGAAGTCCACCATATGTTTCTTTTAGATTTGGTGCAAAACCTATAACTTAATTTTTAAAATGAGAACAAAGCACTTAGTGGAAGGAAGAGGAAGCTCTGAGGTGGTCTGCTCAACACCCAATGTACTCTTGAACTGCTCATTATACAGTATACTGTACATGCTGTAAGTATTCAMAAGTGATGTAAAATATATTCACATSTAATGAACATAAGGGAGCAAGAAGGACAAATTATTAAAGCCAGAAAAGTAAAAAGCCACCATAAAATCATTAAAAGACCGTGTTAGGGCCCAGAAGAGAAAAGTGATTGTAGAACCCGTAAAACCAAAGGGGGCTCACGTGAGATATGGGCTGGCCCTGCACCACTTCATGGTACCCATTGTTAGATGTGTTTGCTTTATTACACATTTTGMGCCCCATTCAGGRCATGATCAATCCAAAAAAACAMTTAAAAAACATAAACTGGAAGTTCTGTATTTAGGGCCCTAAGAAGATTTATGTTGGAAAGGAATTACAAAAATAATGATGGTGATACGTATCACCATCATTGTACAAATACTTGACAATTTTATTTATCTTTTTGCACACATAACTTAAATAAGATGTTAACAGTAATCAACATCCAATCAAAAGAAAAAAAAACATCCAATCTAACAGAGTAATCATTTAAGCAACYCGTCAAAACAAGATAATTGATACATTAATAAGAACAATTATTTGTTTGAGATCTTGTCTACTCTTTGATTGTTGTATATGGAAACACACGCATTTTTAACATTTAATTTTCTTTTAGAAAAAGCAAACAATAAAAAAAATCGAGTCATAATCCACCTACATCCACCAGAGGGCACCAGAGTCTCATCAGTCTTGACGCATGTCTCCAACACTTACAGATGTCTTCTCATCATCAACAGAGCCGTCCTCTGGGACACACACTGCAGCCAGCTGGATTTCAATCCATCTGTCCTGTAAATTCCTTAATTGTCCTAATTAGGGAGATGAGGAAAAGGGGGAGATCTGATACCTCTGTGGAGCTTTGAAGCAGCTGCCTGTAAGGGTGTCTCTCAGTAATGGCGATTGGGGGAGAAGGTGGTGGTGGTGGTGGAGGGGGTTCTAGCAATTGTAAGCTGCTTGTCTCAGTAGGTATCACTGATTTCAATGATGAACACATGAATAAATGTTTGTCAACTTTTGTTTTTTAAAAAGTGCCTTTCAACCAAACCCCAGATGAAAGAGCATCTTTTGGTTGTTTTTGGCCTCGCAAACCAAAGTGTCACYCTTCCTGAGAAAAAGACTAATTGTCTACAGTGATGTAAAAACTGTGTTATTGTTGGTTTATGGCGGTAACTCTTAACACACCACCGAACAGAGTGCCAGTACTCTGTGTGACTGCGGCCTGTAAACACAGCTCCACCACATCCCGCCTACATCACTTTGAGTTCCTCTCGTCTCTGCAGTCCACTTCCCTTTTCCTGCTTTTGCCTCCTCGTTTCTGGCCTAGCTTACACAAATATCAGTGGCTAATCCTGTCCCTGGTGCTTTCCCCTGACTTCCTCGGCCACCTCTTCATCTATCTTCCTCCCTGCTCATGTCCTGCTGATTACGCTGTGTGGGACTGACATAAACAGAAGAAAAGAGGCAAAGGAAGGCTTGTGGGGAGAATCGGTTGGGTGACTTTGATGAGGTCCCTTTGATTGGCCACATTGCTAAAATAAAATAAAATAAAATAAAACAATTATCCCCCACCCCATTTCCACTTCCACAGTCATCAGCTCACATTGGGCCACGTCTGTCACCATAAACCCACACAAATCAACAAAGAAGAAGTCAATGTACAAACAAAACACAGTAAATTTACATGAAGTGTTCCAGTGGTTTAGTCACTCCATTTGCCCCATAGATTCCCGCTCTTTTCAAATGACCAAACACCGATTAAGGTAACAGCACAGCACATCTTATATAAGCTGTGCAGAGCTGTGTCAGCTGTCTCCGCTGGAAGCTTCAAAACGCAGGTGGGAGACTGAGGACGGAGGAGGAAGTGCACGGGTACAATAAGAGCAGTAGCACTGGGGACAGAGTAGAGCAATAAATCACGCCTTGTGGTTCTGGCCACATCAAGGCACCACTGTTCAGGAAACGGAGACTCTGATCAGTCCCGCGTGCACCAAAGGCTGAACTCTGCAGGAGGGGCTGGTCTGCAGGCCTTGGTGCCCCAGATGCACAGGACCTGGGTTTGAGAAACAGCCAGATGTTGGTCTTTTTCAGAACTCCTTATGAAGTTGGGAGAAACAGAGCAGATGACGGTATTGAACAGGTCTGAAATGAAAGGGGGTTGAGGTGGAATAAAAGAAAAACAGAAGGAACTGAGGTATGGCCTATTTGTTGATGAAAGGGCCACTAATTGATTCAAGTCTTTATTTGAGCCCCTTTAAGTTCTAGCATGCCGTCAGTGGGGAAATGAAAACAAGGCAAAGTTGTAAAAACTAAGTTTTGTGTGAGGAAGAAAAAAACAATACAAACACTGTTAAAAACCATAAATAAAATATATATTTAAAACATTTAATTTGTATTATGCACTGATGCTGTATGTGTGTGAATGTGATCTGATTAACCATTCTGAGCCAAATAAAAGGCAGTACACATGTCTGAAGGTCAAACTAACTGTTACCATGGAGATATCACCAGGTAGATGAGAACCAGTTGGCAGACCCATTGTTGGTGCGCAGAAACYCAACAACATGCTCGTAGGATTTACATTTTGAGGTTAATTTAATTCAAAGCATTCATAAATTAAATAAGAATGCCAGCTGGGGACCTTTTTGGGTGGAGTTTACATATTCTCTCCTTTCATGCGTGGGTTTGATCTGAGACTAACTGGCAACTTTAAAGTGTCCCTAAGTCTGAGTGAGACCATGAATAGTGATTTGTCTCTATGTGGCCCTGTGATGGACATGCGACCTGTCCAGTGTGTCCCCCACCCACCCCTTGCACAGTGACTGCCAGATATGGCAAATGGTGACCCCCACGACCCAGAAAAGAAGAAGCGGGTAAAGACAATGGTTATAAAAATCTTCTACAAAATCCAAAACCCTTACGCTATCATAAGTTTTTGCCGCCACAGATTATTTAGTGAGCTGGCAATATGCACAGAATTTTAAACACACACACAAATAAAAACAAAACACTGAAAAAGACGCCAGTAACTAAAAATAAAATACCAATCTGTAAAAAGCACAGCAGAGTTTTAACAAGACTAAAGCTAACCAAATGAAGCAACAAACAAAAAMAAGTTGCACTGAGATGACAAACGTGCAGTCACTAGCTGCAGGTAGGCGGAGCCTCACTGTCATCAAGGAATAAAACAAACGAAAAAAGACAAAACCGATTATATAGTTAGCATTATTCAATGCTTTGTACTATAAATCAAATTTCTATTTATGTCAAACAATTTTTTAAATATTTTCTTTAAAATAGCTGAATTTACTTACTTCCTGGAGGAGGCTGCAGCAAGCTCCGCCCCCAATCCGATTGAATTTGCTGCAAAATATCCCTCAGTGAACGCAGACTCCTGAAGCGTCTATGTATGTGGCCGTTAAAATATTTTAAAATTCTTTCAAATGTGTCTGACTTTCCAAAGTTTGGAAGTTTAGTCAAGTTTATAATATATAAATCTGTACTTGTGTAACGTGTTCTGTGAGCTGAAACGGCTGTGAAGAAACAGGAGTGGAGGCTGGTGGTTCTAACGCTGCAGGGCAGGAGGTMCTTGTGAGCTCAGAGATTACTCTGAGCTGCAGAAGAAGTAAGTCAAGTCTGTTTGAAAAACTTTCAGTTTAATAAAGTAAAAAAAAATACCAAGTTCAATATCAAAAGCTAATTCTAAAGCACTAATATAACCRAGATGACACATGAAACATTCTTTAGTCAACATGAGACAATATTTACTGTGTGCAGAATGTTGTCATTTAGTGCCCTTACRGGGCCAAATGGGAGTCACCCGCAGGCCACATATGGCCCGTGGGTCTTGAGTTTGACATGTGACCTTGTAGATAAGTTACATGGATATGAAAAAAAATGTGTGACAGCT